CATTTTTGTGAAACTCGAATTCTGTGTTACATAATGACTGGATTTTTTTAACATAGAATTAGCTGACCGATTCTGCTTTAGCTGTCCAATTTAAATTTAGCTTACCAATTTTGCAATCAAACTTTATAAAATTAGCAAATTCGCAAACGTCTTAACATGTTTATCCCAAGGGTAACCTTGAATATTTGTTGTAATTCAGTATATATCTGGTGAAAACATTGCTTATCAAAAATTAATTTATGTAATTTAACTTGTTTTAAGGAAAAAGTTACACTGACCGTTATAGGGTAAACTTCGGGTTTATTTTTTCTAAATGTCCTACGTTTTGTAAGATCCAGCCCGCTTGTGTCCACGTTTGTATCTTATCTGTTTTTGTATTTATAACTTAACATCATTGAAGTTATTAAGGTTATTAAGGTTTTTTATATGTAGTACTCTTTGTTTTTACTATGTGTTGCACTAATTTTGGTAATGGCTATACTCTTTTTTATTAACATGGACTCAGGATTAAATCTAAAATTCATTTGGATTATCATCGATAGCGTAAACAAATAAGTGTTTCAAAGTTGTTTCATTTTTGCAAGCATGTGGCCCTTTTCATGAAAATACACTTTAAATATAAACAGGAATAGGTCTAAAAACATTGACAAAAGTAGGGATTAAACCACATAGCTCTCATAACAATATTTAATCCTTTAACCCACTGTGGTATTGTGGATGTACCTGCACATTGAGCTAGTGGACTTGTCTTAACATTAGTTATATACTCCATATCAATTCTCGTAAACTATATGGACAAAACCGAAGTGGAGCCGAATGTTTAAATGAGTGTTATACACGTGTTGTATTCATAACTGACAGGTCAGTTAAACCAGACTGTATCTGTTTGACCCAATGCCAGGGGCGTACATGGCAGCTTGTACCTACCAGAATCGTTCCTGAACAGGCTATATCGAACCAAACATGAATTATTTGCCGTTTGGATGTTTTCGGAGGAAATCATTTTTTGTTGTTGTTTTACATTTTTATGCAATACCTTTTGAATTACGTCTTGATTCACAGTCACAATGTAAAATAATTTCTTTGCAATCATATATGTTGATCTCGTAACTGTTTGCTTCACATATTTAGTCTAATGAGCATGCCTTAATTTGATTTTTTTCACAATCTAAATCGCATGAACTGTCATCAATTAAGTTTATTGAACCATTTATGTAAACACTGCGTTCAAACAGAAATACACCACGCCTTCTTTAAAACAGAAGGCCAACAACTAAGCAACTACAATCGTTCAGATCATTCTTCTAATCATTTATTGCTTTGTATCATCATGATACTTTTACTTAATGACAAGAGCTATTTCTTGATAATGGATTATGGTGATGACGTTTAATCATGACAAGCATCACTAACATCATATCTGTTTTCAATGTATTGGCATATTTAAAAAGTTTAAAATGAAATTTTATGGATGATAACTTTCGGACATAGCAAGGACGAATTTTTTTTTCCAAATAAAATACATAAATTATCCGAGTAAAGATAATATCTAAAATTTCAGCTTTCTGGACATATACATTCAACAAAAGAAAAACACTCAATATGCTACAACTGTTTATTCTTGTTTCAAATACTTAATTTATTTAAACATGTAAATCATTTCAATCAACTTATCTTCTATACATTTTTTAAAAACATTTTCTGTTACAGTTATTGTAAAATTGACTAAACAATTTTATATTAAAGTTTTTATATTTAGAAGGTTAAAATAACATTTTTGAGATAATATAATCAATATTATTGATCATATATTTATCATATAAATGTATATTCTTTAATGAGGGGTAACGTTTATCCATAATCACGTGGTGTTCATCGGGAATATTAAACGGTTACATAAACACTGAAATTGTAATACATTGATGGTATAAACATTTTTTTCTTTTAACTTATCTACATTTACTTATTCTTTTTTATTTCAGTTTACTTTAACATTTTCGAATATTCTTGTATGATAAGATATCCGAAAGTTTCCAATATTCTTGTATGATAAGATACCCGATAGTTTCCAATATTCTTGTATGATAAGATACCTGATAGTTTCCAATATTCTTGTATGATAAGATACCCGATAGTTTCCAATATTCTTGTATGATAAGATACCTGATAGTTTCGAAAATTCATGTATGATCAGGTACCCGATACGGATCGGTCGAAAGCACAATCTATGTACCATGGTACCATTACATTGGCTGTTTAAATTTACTCCAAAAAGATAAACAACAAATGTCATTTTAGTGAACTATTCCGTTGACTATAATCGGTTTGTTCCCGGATAATACTCTATACCGACTAATAACCTTTTCAGTATTAACATATCTACTTTATATGAAACAAAGTAGCATGATCTACCAAAATATATTCATATAGTAAACGTTTACCCTCATTAAAAAACTAAACAGTTGTAAATTTTACACTTCACAACAAAAATGACAGATAAATGAGATTACAGACAAAAAGCAGCATATGTAGAGACGCACAAATTTAAAATCGAAAAGAAAATAGTCAATCTAAACTACCTGATAATTCTTCAAAAGTTAAAGGCGCAATATGCCTCAGAAACGAATATATTTTCTTCCTTATTTATAAAAAATAAACTTGTCTTTATAACGTATAAATAATGGTTTTAGAGCATGTCAAATACTTATCAACTTATCACCTGAGAAAAGTAGCGCTGACTGTGATATTTGTAATAAAAGTATACAAAATATAAACAAAGTGGCTTTTAAAGATCCTGTATGTTGTAATTAAGGTTGCTACCACACTTAAATGAAAATTCATATATGTATATAATTATGCTTCTAAAACAATTTTAAAACATCGAAGAATATGTAAAATATTTACTGCAAATATTTGTCAACATTATATGTAATCATTAAAATATATACATTCATTTCTTATTGAAAAATTTGACTTAGACTTTATAAAAAATAAATTTCTAAGTACCTTTCTTTATTAACATGAAATGTGAATTCGGTAATATCTTTACAAATAATGCTTTTTGGAACTTACAATATTGATAAATCTTCATTTGATTATTATATTTATGAAATAAAACCATAAAAAATTGAGTTACAGGATATTTAAGCTTCCATACATTCAAACAAAATTCTCAACCTACTATAACTGTAATACTTCTCAAAAAGAAATAATAGCAAATGAATCAGGAAATTGCCAGAAGAGAAACTTTCTAAAAAACAATATATGGGGTCTACAAATTAAAAGCTTTTGAAAAAACAGGTCAAAATGGGCCATTTTGGCACAATCTTAAAGATATTGTTCCGTTTCTGATTTGGTGTTTTTTTTTGCAATGTTAAGGAAATCATTGAACATTAACTCAGAATTTATCAGGAGCCTATATGTCTTATCCCTAAAGTCTTCATTTTACGAGAGTGAAATGAAAAAAAATACATATGGACTTATTGAAAAGCAGCTATTCTTTCATTACTTTCACTTTTTTGCAATGTTGATAATTCATTAGGCAACTGAAGTTTTCCTTTTTGGTAATGAAAAGGTACCAGATGACTAATAATTGTGCAATGTGACAACATAAATAATATTCTATAATATACAAAATTCAATGTTCGGGATCTTCGCCAGAGAAACTGTGAGCTGCAGTAAGATTAGTTCTGAATCTTCTAAAGGTGATTTCGTGGCTTGAACCTCTTTTGTACAATAGTTAGAATGTCTGATAATTTTACGGATTAACTAAGTGCATCTAGATTAAAACACTACTTAAATGAAGGATTTTGCAGTTGCATTTTTTTCAAATGGAAAGCAAACAGGTTTTGAAGAATAATCTAAAATTATCAGATTGAACCAAGCTGATAATTCATATGAAAAGACTTGTGCTTTATGTAATAGAAAGAGCATCGAAATACGAGGCTATCTGATTTGTACGAGAGGGCGTAGCCACCGAGTATTAATCAGATTGCCGAGTTGATTAATGTTATTTCTCTTTTGTATCATAGTCAAACATAAAAAACATTCCCTCTTGGCACAATATGAAACCCCAGAAAAAAGTAACCAATGGACATGCATCTGAATATGCTTTCCCTTTCCCATTTCGTCACTATAAGTAAACCCCAGCAAAAATGAGCCAATCATTGGGCATGCCCTGTTTATATAGTAGACAATATTTTAATAATATATATATCAAAATAAATATTCTTAATTTCATTTAAGTATATTGAAATAAAATATTCACATTTCACTTAGTCTTTCTTTTAAAAAAAGTTTCATTTAAGTATATTAAAATAAAATATTCATAGTTTTACTTAGTCTATTTTGAATGGAAATATTTTTTTATTAATATATTAAACGAAACGTCATTGACAAAAATATTTTTCTGTTTTTTTGTTTGTTTTTATTTAATATTTGTCAAGGAATTACTAATACTCTTGAATGAAAAGCAAATATGTTTGTACGTAATCACATGGCGTTCGTCGGAAATAGTATCTTGTCAACAATTTTTGGTTCACTCTAAAGATGTTCACAATTTACAAGACTAATAAAACGTCACGGTAACACTGTTTATTTGTATGACAATTAAATATGAGTTATATCATTTTTATACATCAACTGATATTGAAAACGCTGAGATGTCTAGATTAATGTTTATATACACACCTTGTATTCGCTTTTAAGTTCATGCTTATTCGTGCAATTTATATTACTTTTCTTTTTTTTTCAAATTGCAATAAGTCTGTCTTTGAATATGTCATTCGACACTATTTTCACCGATTAATTGCCCATTATGCTTAAATAGATTAAAACACATATTTGGCGTACCATAGAAACAATGTCTAAAAATCTACAAGCAAAATGATTTCATACATAAAATCATATGTTTTCATGCAAGTGTTTAACAGTTGACTTTTGTAAATTTTGAATCTCTTAACACACAAACATAAGACAAAAAGGGAAAAAGGAAATATTAAAGGACATAGATACAGATACTGAATCAATCTAAAAAAAACCAACTAATGGCTGTGTAGAATACAGTGCAGATAGTTCCCTTTCTTGATTCATGTTTATGCACATTTCTATTGAAATAAAGCGAGCTTTTCTTTAAATGTCAATTCTACAGTTGATTTGATAAAAGATGTCAAAAATCATTAATTACAATGTAAAGCAGAAGGTATAAATAAAATGTCCATCACACACACAAAATAGAATTCAGGTTTTTCTTTAGCGTCCCAATCTGAAATAGATTATTACAAATCCTTTAACTCGTTGCATTAAATACAACTATCAAATACCAATACAAATCACCCATTGATTAATTTTAAAGTGTATTCAGTATTATAGGGTATTATAATATGACAGTCATAAAATTGATATTCAGTAAAATAATGTTTGTTTCATCATTTTATTGTTGATTCTTAAAAGGAGAGGTTAAGGAGATGGTCATTGTTATTTAGCAAGAATGCTTATTGTACGTAAACAGAATAGAATGTTCCGGTACAAATTACTATGCTGCTGTCTTAAGTAGGTTTTAACCAATTAGCAATGATTCTTGCATGAACCATTCCTTCTTAAGTAAATATAAAAAAATATTTATTTCATACAGTTATTTTGAAAGTAATTTTTATATTTTTTATAAAATCTAAACAATATGTTGTAAAATACGGACAGCAGACATATGCATTTATAAACTTTTATAAATTTCTGTATACGTATGGCATTCATTTAAAGGTAACTAAGAACACACAAGAAAATAGGGATTTAAAAAAAAGCTTTAACTTAAGCTTATAAATCAGGCAAATAGTCCAACATTTTTACGACCTATTTTTCGTGAGACGTAATAAAAGCATAGAATGTTGTATTTACCAGAATTGCTGTATAAGAGTTGCCAAGCCGCTAAGAAGGACCGTTAGTGTCCCTAACTGTATGGATACAGCTAAAACGAAATATATACAAGTTACTTTTTTATCTAACGAGACAAGAACAAAATTCCTGTCGTTTTATTAAATTCGTTGAAATGTATAAATTGCACACTTGAAATACTGTATAAGCAAACTCTTGCACCTTAAATGTCTTATAAATTGTTAACTAAAAATAAGTGAAACAGTTTTTGGTCGGTTCTTCTAATTTCTTTAATTATTCTCCTGATAAAATAACAGTTAAGACTGAATATTTGCTAAGGGGATAAAACTTTTGATATCATTGACAACGCCACGTACAATTGATTTTGGCACGTCAAGTTATCATAGTTTCTTCCCATCGTATACACAAAGCAAGGAAAAGTTACCTCTTATAATACAGGATTATCAATTAATTACTAAAACGAATGTAAAAACTCAATAACATTAAGGACATGTTAATAACCCTTTACCTGCTGGAAACTGAAAGTGATCAGCCTTTGCTATTAGTATAGAACCAGGCCTACCTGCACATCTGCTCAGTTTGACCAGGTTCCGTATTGTTGGTATGCTAACTAGCTCAAAATCTGTATTTTGATAGTTCTTTAAACGTTCAATGGACTGTTCCAAAATTAATCAGAGAAAATTCGTAACATAAATTCAGAAACATAAGAGTTAATTATATTTTTATTTACCTGAATTCTTTGCGGTACATTCGTCAACTTGCATGACATACCCGGAGTTGCATTTACATTTGTCAGTGTCACAATGAGAATTGTTAATATTTTCACATTCTTTTCCATTTTCTGAACAAGGTGTTCCACTTACAGCTTTAAATAATACAAATATTAAGTAAAATTCCACAAATACTATGTACTTACATGTAAAATATCATATTTCTTTTCAAAACAACTTTAAACTCATTTTTGAATTATCATATTATTTTCTCTCCAAAACAGCGGTAATTATATCTCTAAATCTCGTATAAGCATGAATTTTAAAAAAAACTTTACTTAAAATGCTTCATAGGTTTTGAACATTTTGGAAATAAAAACATGTAACATGACCTTATCCTTTACCTTCCGAATTGATCAGAAATTATCGAAAGCCTAAGCGAGTCTGAAATGTTCATGTCATTTTGTTGAATCAATGCTTCCGTCGAATAACATTTTTTCTAGATTTTTGTTTGCACTAAAACCTAAGAAAAATAGGACACCTTTTCGTCGAAGAACAGTCCACACTTACAATGTACAAACATTGAAATATTGTACAAACTTGCCTGGCATTGAAAGACATTTGATAGCTTTTACTTTTGAATTGCATATTGGAATAAAAAAGGCTGCACACAATTTTTTAGATTTACTTGATTAATATGTAATTTAAATATATTACGAAATAATATAAAACTCACTTTTAACGCATTTATTATCTTTTTCTCCAAAGTCAGCTTTACATGAACATTTACTATCAGTGCAACCTGCTTCTCCTGCTTCTGTGCAATCACGGTCTTCCTTGCACGTCCCTCCGAGTACTAAATATGATTAATAATATATATTGGTACAAACAAGTAGGCAACAAATATCATTCTCAAATAAATTTAGTTTAGTTTTAGTGCATCTATAAACATCAGCAAAAAGTAAAATATAAAGAACACAACCGTATAAAGTGACATTATGCCCATCTAAGAGTCTAAAAGACTGCACAATTGAATGTCAAAATAAATTTTTATTTTGCTATAATTCCTTTATAATGTTGAATTTTATTTCACATTAACAATAAACAACTCATGGATTCAAACGAAATGTTCGTCAATACCCATTAGAAGAATGTACCTGTAACGTCCATTTCATAAAAAGAGTGGGGCAGTCTATTTACATTTCAGGCAGATTTAAATTTTATCCTTAACATTTTCCAATTTGAACTGTTGGTCAATCACCATTTTTACAGTCAATCTTTTGAAATATACAGTCAGTGCAGCTCATCTTGACTATGAAAATATGTTTTTTTGTTATTTTATTTATTTCTATTTTTTTTTATTTTTCATCTGGAACTTTATATTTAAACTCTACATCAATTTTTTATACTAAATATCTTTTATCAAACTTGGATTGTGAAGAAAAGTTATAACAAATGTTCCATCCAACTGAAATAACATCTACTAAAGACGTTTTATTTTGTTTTCACTAACCTTTCACACAGGTGCTACCATCCGTTTTATCCTCTATAAATCCGTCAGAACATTTGCATTTAGCATTATTTGCAACATTGTCACATTCTGCATTTGGAGTATGCTTACACTGGTCAGCAGCATCTTTGATACAACTGGTTTCTGTCACCTTTTCTACAACACATGATTTGAAACAAAGTTAAGGTCAGTAAAGTTACAAAATAATTATATTGTAAAATGTTTTCGATGTCTTTTTTTCATCGGATAGAAGCATGATTTTTATAAAGTCAGGAATAGATGACCCATAAATGGTTTTAACTTTTTTTCAATTTAATCATAACTTTCATACGGTTTTTAATGTTATCCAATGTATTGCTGCGTTTTAAACAAACAGTTCAGGTGACAGAAGTATCTATTCCAATTAATTGCAGACACCTTTTCTGATTTATTACTGTTCATCAATGAAAATACCAATGTGGGTAAAATCACAAACAAATTGCACATAACATACATGTATAAAGTATTCTGACCGACACTAGTTAAAAAAATAATATTCCTAAAAGGCTTGTTTAAGTGTAACGTTAACTAAATTAGCAAAGGCGTTGCTGGTCGAGATTTATGTGTAGGCAAATGTATAGAGGGGTTAAGGGCATGCAACACAAAAAAAATGTTGTTTTTTTCCGTTGCCCTTGACTGTCTGAAGTGCATACTGGTGTATAGTAAGTATTATAAAAGATCTGTTCAATACAAAATTATTAGCTGCATAATTATAGAAAAAAACTTTATTTTTGTTTTAAATTTCTGCGAACAAAAGTAGGTCGCTACTACAGAAAACTACGCCACTGTTAAGCAGTCAAACACGTTCAGATATTTGATTTTACTTACTTTTCACACATGTGCTACCATCCGTTTTATCCTCTATAAATCCGTCGGAACATTTGCATTTAGCATCAGTTTCAGCATTGTCACATTCTGCATTGGGAGTATGCTCACACTGGTCTGCAGTATCTTCGGCACAACTTGTTTCTGTCACTTCTAAGACACAGGATTTAAAAAAAAGTCATTGAGCTGATTCTGTTGTTCCTTCATTTTTAAAACAAAGATGGAAATTAAATTTTGCTTGATGAGAAGAAACATAACTTAAACAAATGTACGAAAAAGATATTGATAGTTTTGCTCCATTTTAAGTTATCTGACTCTGAGTGTGAGTTTCTTGTTTACCATCTTATGTGATATTCACGATAAAATAACTCAAATCAACCATACCCAAATCATATAATGTTTCAAATTATCCTTTGTTATTTTCTCCTTAAATCTTCAGTTTTCAAGTTGAAAATAATAATACCCAACATACATTTTTCTTTCATCAATGAGTTATTTAAAACGTACTTGAAAAAGGGAGATAACTGAAAGTAAAGTTATAAATTACATAACGACTATAGAAACCAATCTTTTGCGTTGGATTTGAGCAAATTTTGTGCAATGTCAAAAGTAAAAAATTCAACAAATTTGCAATCTCTTATTTGGTATTACTTGCTTAATAATTTAGATGGTTGCTCGGGGAAATGGGATCAAACAAGCAAACACTGACTTCCAGGGGCAGAAAATTACGTTTCCATTAATATTCGTTTTCATCGAACAAAGTTTAAAAAGAAAATATGTTCGCTTTTTAGACATATTTTGACCAAATTTGATAGAATTTAAGTTCACTTCTTAGCGCTTAATTCTAAGAAGAAATAATGTTCTCTTCGAACACATGTTATTTCTGTCGTCTGAGAAAGGAAAATTGAAGGAAAATACACAAAATGAGATACAAAGATTTCAAATGTAAAGTAGCTTCATGTTTCTTGTCATCTAAATTTAAATATTATGAAACTTTACCATATTCCTGACATTAACACAATCTGTAAATTTTAAACATAAATTTCCCATTTTTTTGAAAAATATTGACAATTATGATTTCGTTTGCGTTACATAGAAATGCAGCGAACCAAGTTGAACGCTTTTTTATCTGTTACATAATTAGAACATTAAATAGCATCATTACGTAATATCAAAGCATGCAATACAAATTAAATGATTGAACATAGCCTAATGCACATGAATCTCATTGAAATTACCAGACATTTGTAAATTTGTAAAAATCAAACACACATTGGTCATTTATTTAAATATTTTAATTAGGTAGTGAAAGACCTCCTAACTTTCTCCGACAAAATTACTTGCATATAACTGCTAATTGGTTTTGAACATGTCAGGTTAATTTGATTATTTCATGGTAGGAAGCCATCCCGCTCACCAAATGTTTATTGTTCTGATAAGCTGTATAATATACATTTGGGAACCTGTTATCTTGCTCATTCAGGAAATATGGATATTTACCACATAAACTTTACAACATTATATAAAACACTACAGATAACTACTAATTTCTGTGTTGAAATTTTTACTTTAATGATTTCTAATTTGAAATGCATTATATATTTCATTTTGTCACTTTTCCATTTACGTACGATTTGGCTCAAATTATTACAATGTTCAGATTTTATTATTTATCATTTAGTTAGGTAACAAATAAATTGTATTTTCTTTATTATTGTGCCCATTATTTTCTTGTAAATAATACTTGTTTTTGTGTCGTTTTTATCAGATGAAAACATGTTTTTATAAAGTTAATAAATAGATGACATGTTATTGGTACACAAGAACACACACACATTTCCGAAACTTGAATTAACTTCACACGATCTTTTTATTTCATCTAACGGACTGCTGCACTTTACACAAACATTTTTGACGAGAGATGTTTGTTGATCTCAATCTGGTTCATTTAATTGCAGACACTTTCAATCATCAATGAATATCCCAACGTGAATTAAAATCGCAAATAAATATTACATGAAAGAAATAAACTGATAGATTGTACTTGCTAAACAAATTTCTATTTCAATTAAACTGACAGGTTTGTTCAAGTGTGATAACTTCTAATAGGTGGGGGCGAACAATGGCCTAGATATATTTGTAGGCCAACTTTCAGAGGGTTTTAGGGGCATGCGACACTAATAAGTTTTTTTATACTGGAATGCTAGAGGCGCGTGTTGTGTTGGCTTAATATAATAAGTACAATAGAAAAACCTGTAGAAATTGTTAAGGACATCATAAGTTGGTGCATGTACACAACCAAATTTGTTTAAATTTCATGAACAATTTTCCGAAAAAAAAACACCAACAAATGTTAGTCGCGACCTTCACCGTTAAAGAAACTCGCTACTGATGAGTAATCAACAAGTTCAGATATTGAATCTTACTTACTTTTCACACATGTGCTACCATCCGTTTTATCCTCTATAAATCCGTCGGAACATTTGCATTTAGCATCAGTTTCAGCATTGTCACATTCTGCATTGGGAGTATGCTCACACTGGTCTGCAGTAGCTTTGACACAACTTGTTTGTGTCACTTCTAAGACACAGGATTTAAAAAAAAGTCATTGAGCTGATTCTGTTGTTCCTTCATTTTTAAGACAAAGATGGAAATTAAATTTTGCTTGATGAAGAAGAAACATAACTTAAACAAATGTACGAAAAAGATATTGATAGTTTTGCTCCATTTTAAGTTATCTGACTCTGAATGTGAGTTTCTTGTTTACCATCTTATGTGATATTCACGATAAAATAACTCAAATCAACCATACCCAAATCATATAATGTTTCAAATTATCCTTTGTTATTTTCTCCTTAAATCTTCAGCAAAGTTGAAAATAATAATACCCAACATACATTTTTCTTTCATCAATGAGTTATTTAAAACGTACTTCAAAAAGGGAGATAACTGAAAGTAAAGTTATAAATTACATAACGACTATAGAAACCAATCTTTTGCGTTGGATTTGAGCAAATTTTGCGCAATGTCAAAAGTAAAAAATTCAACAAATTTGCAATCTTATTAGGTATTACTTGCTAAATAATTTAGATGTTTGCTCGGGGAAATGGGATCAAACAAGCAAACACTGACTTCCAGGGGCAGAAAATTATGTTTTCATTATTATTCTTTTTCATCGAACAAAGTTTAAAAAGAAAATATGTTCGCTTTTTTAGACATATTTTGACCAAATTTGATAGAATTTAAGTTCACTTCTTAGCGCTTAATTCTAAGAAGAAATAATGTTCTCTTCGAACACATGTTATTTCTGTCGTCTTAGAAAGGAAAATTGAAGGAAAATACAAAAAAATGAGATACAAAGATTTCAAATGTAAAGTAGCTTCATGTTTCTAGTCATCTAAAATTAAATATTATGAAACTTTACCATATTCCTGACACAAACACAATCTGTAAATTTAAACATAAATTTCCCATTTTTTTGAAAAATATTGACAATTATGATTTCGTTTGCGTTACATAGAAATGCAGCGAAACAAGTTGAACGCTTTTTTATCTGTTACATAGTTAGAACATTAAATAGCATCATTACGTAATATCAAAGCATGCAATGCAAATTAAATGATTGAACATGGCCTAATGCACATGAAACTCATTGAAATTACCAGACATTTGTAAATTTGTAAAAATCAAACACACATTGGTCATTTATTTAAATATTTTAATTAGGTAGTGAAAGACCTCCTAACTTTCTCCGACAAAATTACTTGCATATAACTGCTAATTGGTTTTGAACATGTCAGGTTAATTTGATTATTTCATGGTAGGAAGCCATCCCGCTCACCAAATGTTTATTGTGATAAGCTGTATAATATACATTTGGGAACCTGTTATCTTGCTCATTCAGGAAATGTGGATATTTACCAAATAAACTTTACAACATTATATAAAACACTAATAGATAACTACTAATTTCTGTGTTGATAGTTTCTACTTTAATGATTTCTAATTTGAAATGCATTATTTATTGTACGATCCGTTTCATTTTGTCACTTTTCCATTTACGTACGATTTGGCTCAAATTATTACAATGTTCAGATTTTATTATTTATCATTTAGTTAGGTACAAATAAATTGTATTTTCTTTATTATTGTGCCCATTATTTTCTTGTAAATAATACTTGTTTTTGTGTCGTATTTATCAGATGAAAACATGTTTTTTTATAAAGTTAATAAATAGATGACATGTTATTGGTACACAAGAACACACACACATTTCCGAAACTTGAATTAACTTCACACGATCTTTTTATTTCATCTAACGGACTGCTGCACTTTACACAAACATTTTTGACGAGAGATGTTTGTTGATCTCAATCTGGTTCATTTAATTGCAGACACTTTCAATCATCAATGAATATCCCAACGTGAATTAAAATCGCAAATAAATATTACATGAAAGAAAGTAAACTGATAGATTGTATTTGCTAAACAAATTTCTATTTCAATTAAACTGACTGGTTTGTTCAAGTGTGATAACTTCTAATAGGTGGGGGCGAACATTGGCCTAGATATATTTGTAGGCCAACTTTCAGAGGGTTTTAGGGGCATGCGACACTAATAAGTTTTTTTTTATACTGGAATGCTAGAGGCGCGTGTTGTGTTGGCTTAATATAATAAGTACAATAGAAAAACCTGTAGAAATTGTTATGGACATCATAAGTTGGTGCATGTACACAACCAAATTTGTTTTTATTTCATGAACAATTTTCCGAAAAAAAAACAAAAAAAAAACAAACAAACAAACACCAACAAATGTAAGTCGCGACCTTCACGGTTAAAGAAAAACTCGCTACTGATGAGTAATCAACAAGTTTAGATATTGAATCTTACTTACTTTTCACACATGTGCTACCATCCGTTTTATCCTCTATAAATCCGTCGGAACATTTGCATTTAGCACCAGATACAGCATTGTCACATTCTGCATTTGGAGTATGCACACACTGGTCTGAGGCATCTTTAGTACAACTTGTTTCAGTCACTTTTACTATAATACATAATTTGAAGCAATATTATCCGAAATTATTATGTCCAACATACATTTTGCTTTGCTTCAATAAGTAATTTAAAACGCACAGCAATTTTCCTCAAAAAAGGGGGTTGGAATATTGGTGTATTATTTTACATTCAAGATCCTGAAACACATTTTTTCATGGTTTTATATCATAAACATTATGCTCAAATTAAGATTTGTCCATATTGTTAGTTCCAATGAGCATTATTTATAAAAATATTACCGATTTTAACATTTCATTAAATAAAAGGAGGTAATTAGAAATTTAATTTCTGTAAATTATAAGTCAAATTTTCCAATAAGAAATGAATGCATATAATTTATTGATTAACTATAATGTGCACAAATAATTGCAGTAAACATTTTATATATTCTTCGATGTTTGAAAATTGTTTTATTTTCATAATTATATGCATTTATAATATAATGTTTTGCAAGTGTGGTATACAAACAGTAACAATATCAAGCATGTCAATGACGAAACATACAGGATCCTTAACAAGTTACTACTAAAGAAAAACTATTACGTTGAATTTCAGACGATTTTGCACATCTTTAAGGAATAAAACAATTAAATCTACGTATTGTGTAGCTGTAAAAAACCGACTTTCAGGGTTAGAACATTTTCTTTTCATTACTATTCCTTTTTCATCATGCAACGTTTAAAAAACATTTATTCGCTTGCTTTTTTACATTACTACCAAATTTGATAGATTTATAATTCGTTCATTAGAACAGTGTTTTAAGAGTTCAAATGTACACTAGTTTAATGTTTCAAGTCATATGAAACTGAACTTGAAGTCTTGAAATATTTTATGATAAATGTTCTATTTGCTTAGTCGAATAACTTGTGTGCAAAATTTTGTATCATTCGCTGACGTCAATTTCTTTTTCAGGATAATTATTCAAATTGTGAAAATAACACACAATTACCTCTTACATGTTAAGTGTGGTGGTAAAAATTGACAAAGTTCGAACTCCAGCAGTGACCTTTAAGTTAGACAAAAAAAACCTGGGTCTTGTGCACAACACAAAGTCCATCTATGGTGACCTTATATTTTTGAATAAGAAATGAAACTTTCATGTGTATGGAAGTTACAGAGCGCACACAACAACCACCATTTATATGAATATAACATAAACATTGAAAAAGATGAAACCCCAGCAGTGACCTTGAACTGAGACGTAGGAACACGGGTCCTAAGGGCAACACATCATTCATTGACGATAATTTCATATGTGAAAAAAAAAATCCTTTTATGCATATTAGTTTCAGAGCAGGCACGACCATCTCTGCCTATATGTATATTAACATCAATATTGACAAAGTTTGAACCCCACAGTGACATTGACCTTAGTCGTAGAAACCCTGAGTCTTGTTCGCGAATCTATTGTAAATTAATATGTTCAAGCATACCCAACATCATAATTTAAAATGACAAAGTTTGAACCTCCACAGTGAACGTGACCTTTGTCTGAGATACCCAGGTCTTGTTCGCGACACACCACACATCTATGTTAAAATTCAAAAGAAAGAAAAATTAAATCCTTTCATGCATACTGAAGTTTCTGAGCGGACACGACCACCACCATCTATATTTATATAACATAAAATATGACAAAGTTTGAAGGCCCAGAGTGACCTTGAGCTTAGTGGTAGGAACCCGAGTCCTGTTCGCGACACACTATACACCTGTGTTTATTTCATATGTGAAAGAAAATTACAATCCTTTCATTAATACCGAAGTTTCAGAGCGGACACAACCACCACCTTTTAAAATTTTAATAACATAAAAATGACAAAGTTTGAACCCCCACAGGGACATTTACCAAACTGGAAGAAACCCGGGTCCTGTTATATATCCATATATCTATATTCATTTCATATGTAAAAGAAAATAAAAATCCTTTCATGCATATTGAAGTTTCTGAGCGGAAACGGCCACCACCATCTATATTTATATAATATAAAAAAAAAACAAAGTTTAAATTTCCACACCTCCGCTATGTTTATAGCGCAAAAGTCGTCACGTCAAAGTGTTATTACACTAAAGCTATATCGTCTACTGTAATATCGTTTTTATTAAATGGCTTTATTACACTTTTGCGCCGCGGGTTATGTGATAAATGACTTTATCAGATAAATTGCGGTACAGGAGTGTTAAAAAGCCGTTTAATTAAAACGATATTACACCAGTTTAATAACACTTTGATGAGACGTCATGTGCGCTCTATATAAAAATAACCTTACAGCGCGCTAAAATAATCGTTACACTCTATGCGCGTCAATGACAAATGACTCTTTCTAAAAGTTTACAGTTCTGTTTATTTGTGATAAATAGAATATCATGTTCGTGTAGATTCAATACTAAATTTATTGAACTCGTTGAATAAAACCTTCACTCATTCAATATCCTCTATTTAATACTTCTTCCGCATTCTCACCTGTGGCTTGACAAGTTGTGATGCAAATTCCAACAGATATGAAACATATTGAAAGTGCCCTGTGTAGCATCTGTAAACATAAATTAGTGATTAAAAAACAACTCATCCGTTTGATACATTTCGCAAAAGTATATTATCTATACACAATACATATTTTTCCAAAACCTTTTGCTCACATGCTCATATACTATTCAACAATTCATATTAATCAGAGAAGTTATCAACCTGAGGTCATTAGATTTTTTGGTGTCTTTACTTACAGCACATGACGTTTTGTTTACGTTCATGTCTTAAGACCGAGCTTACAAATAATTTTACTTTGAATATTAATTAGACTTATCACTATACAATGAAATGACTATGCCTAAATGTATCATTAAACGAATCCCAGACGCTTTCTTAAGTTAAAATGACTCAACTGAAATATATTTAAAATATTTTTTAGAATATTTTCCTCAGACCATTTGCATACACATTTGCCAGAGTGATCACTTTTTTGTTGAAATGTACCGAAATACTTTTTTCCCTACTTTAATCTGACTACAAGTCGCATTTCAATTAGTATAATTAGTATATGTAGTATAATTCCTTGACATCGTTTCTTGTTTACTCATTTTAATAACCCATGTCATATATATTTTTTATTTTTGCTTTGGATCTCAGTGTAGCTCTTTTAAGATATCATGTGGGTGCAACCTTCCTGAATCGACTAAAAAAGGTTTTCAGAAATGAAATATTGAAAATTAGTAGATAAAAAAGGTTAATTATTTATCAAACTTCAGTAAAACATAATTTTAAACGTTTTTTTTTGTTAATTTCTTTATTATTCTGTATTTATTATTTGATCAAAGAAAAGCAAAGTTATTGCACAGATATCTACCGCATACTCCAGGGTTTCTATCAGATTTCTTGCTAACAAAACGTCAAGACAGGCACTAAACTCAAAAGAACATAAATGGACTCCACTGAGGTTTTTTTTGACATGACAGTCCTGGGAATAATTTTTTGAAATAAATTTTCATTTTAATGTAGATCTATGCCAATAACTTGTGTGGAAAATTTCAGATCATTGCTCACTCTGTTTTTACAGAAACAAATCTTTTTGTAAAAAATAATCCAGAATTGAAAACTGTTTCAACGCTTTTCACTCAAATCAGGCTAAGAATTACACAAAATATGATTTTGAATCTATTTCTTAGTATATTTCTTAATTATCGTTTGCGTATCTTTCTATTTTAAGTGTAACAATCATGACTAGTTATGGCCCTTTAATACAGGAACGCCATTTGCTGGTAAACTATGTAAACAATACGTTGCGCTAGAAACTATATTTTTTTCTGCCCCCACTATAGGGGGGCATTTAGATTTACCCTTGTCCGTCCGTCCATCCATCTGTCCGTCCGTCCATCCGTCCTTTCGTCCGTCAGTTCTCCTTTTTGTCGCACGTAGCTCAAAATGTAATTGACCAAGAGTCATGAAATCTTACAGGAATGTTGATCAGCATTTGCAGTTGTGCACCTGGGTATTTTCATGTGAACATTTTTAGTATTTTTAGAGTTATTGCCCTTGACTTAGTAAAAATTTGCAATTTTCAACTTGTGTCACACGTAAGTCAAAAAGTATTTGACCTAGAGTCATGAAACTTTACAGGAATGTTGATCAGCATGTGAAATTGTGCACCTGAGTATTTTTTTGTGTGGATATATATTAGTATTTCTAGAGTTATTGCCCTTGAATTAGTAAAATTTTCCAAATTTCAACTTGTGTCGCACGTACCTCAAAAAGTATTTGACCTATAGTCATGAAACCTTACAAGAAGG